ATCTCCAAAGCTATACACCAATGGCTGCTTACCATCTTGGTAGTATTTGGCATCTGAAAACCCAGACGTGTCGAACATTATCTCGTACATGACCTGTGGAATCCGGACTGGATGACTGCTTGGACAAAAGTCGCCCGCAAGTCCATTGAAGCCGGGCGCATACGCAACATGCGATCTGTGGTCTGGCGAGTCAAGACTAACGCCATCCCAGCACGAAGGAAAGATCACTGTAGCACGGATTCCCCCTGGACATGGCGTAGACGGAAAACTGGCAGTGTCATTAACTGAACAGGGCGCACCGGCTCCGCCCATGATGCGTTCATCAGCCTGCAGACAACGATGGCAGATGCCTGGGTAAGTGCCTTCTTTGCTGCGGTTGGTGGGATCGCCAGCCAGCATGCGGAAGCCCTATGAATGAATGAGGAGGTATCTCAGAAGCGACAATCAATCTTGACTCACGGGTATCATCGCAGTAGTATTCTTGTTCGTGCCACTAAACGGACGCATGTAGTATATGGTGAGACCGCCATCTTGCTCAAGGAGGGTTCCGTTTCGACGGCCGTTTGCCATCTGTGGTACTTTACGATATGTACCATTCTCTGGCGACTTGAAGTAAATGGAGGCGGTCCAATAGTTTGATCTATCTTCTCTGTAGCTGTGTAAGTGAGCCGTCAAGATTCTGGAATGGCTTTGCAGACTTGTAAAGGCACGAAGTGCAGGTCGATCGGGCGGCTGGATCAAAGGACGAAGGATCCATCTGATTATGTTAGCCCCTTGAGTATATCACAAAAGAGCTGGCGATGCTATACTGTGACATTGAAACTGTTGCCTCCTACAATCTATACAAATCAGCCCTCTTGCATCGAAAACAATAAGTAAACTTGCTTGGTGCATGTGCGGTGATGGGTTGAGCCCAGGGGTGACGAGCGGATCAGTACGCTCAACCACAAGCTGCGAACACCCAAACCGTAGAAAGTCAGATGACCCATAGGGTGTTTCTTGGGCCGAGATATGTTGTACAAGAAGCAACAAAATGATAGGAGAATACCAAAACATGTTGGATAAAGATGCAAGCAAATGTGCCTGTTTGGCAATTGTGCACAATCAAGTGGACTTCGTAGGTGCAGGTATATTAGTACTTTGCCGATGCATGTATGTCCAACTACCGTTCCTCAAGCTAGTCCAACATGATAGTCGAGCGGAGCAGATTGTCAAAACTCTTGGGAAGTCCCGCTCCCTTGGTAACATTTGCATGCAGAGACCAATAAGGCGCGATCGGGTTCATTGGTGCAATATCCCTACATTGGCTAGGTATTGATGAAGCAACTGCCGTGTCGCACAAGAACCTCATCGGAATATTGCAAAAGCGACAGCCAGAGGTTGATTCGTTTTGCAGCGCGTAAAGCCAAGAATAAATATTGTTAAATATACTGTCTTTTGAATACCCGCGCTGGATCAATCATGGGCCGAAATTGGAGACTCGCCATTCTTTCCTATTACAAGCTTGGATGGCAACAACGAGAAAATATCAGCCCCGCAGCAATATCATGAGGCTGTTGGATTTATGCGCTTGTCACATGATGAGGCTACTCTCTCTGTCAATGGGGTTTCTTGGAACCAAAGGTGAAGGTACTTTTGTTGTTCTCTGGTTCAGAGTCATGACTAAGCGGGAGCTGTGGGATCGTGGCTGCCACGCCCTGCCCTGATCCCAGCCCTTACCAGCCTCATCATCATCATTCAACCACCGAGCGCATCCGCAACACCATCGTCGCCCAACCCTCTCTGGCCTTGACTGCCATCCCCACGTGTGCGCGCACTTTTGGCACATACTATTGAGGTCACTGGCGCGTCTCTACCGCGTGCGCATCCCGTGACCTGCGACGCGTCGATATAAACACGACGACCGACCCGACGCGCAGCTCTTCTTCACCCCCACCCACGAGCTCCTCCATCCCGCCACCACCATGTTTCTTCCCGAGGATCTTCTCTTCAAGCAAGGCGCGCTTGCGCACGTCTGGCTCGCCTCCAATCAGCAGAAGAAGCTCACCAAAGCCCAAGTGCTGCAGCACAAGATCCCCGAGAGTTGCGAGGTCATCATTCGACCAGAGGTGGCTGCTGGCGGCCCGCTTGCGTTGCGTTTGAACGCGCAGCTGCTTCTTGGTGAAGTGCGCATCTACCACAAGAAAGCCCACTACCTGCAGGATGACTGCAATGAAGCTTTGTGGAAGATCAAGATGGTAAGCGTAATTCCAATCACCCGGCATTGCCACGACTAACGCGTCTGCAGGCCTTCCGCCCTGGAAACATTGATCTTCCTGCGCAGACTCACGTTGCTAACCCCACCAACTTGATTCTGCCAGATCAAATTACCGACCTGGACCTGCTGGCTCCGATGCCAGATCCTTCTTTTCTTCTCTCACAGCCGCTTAGTGGCAGCCTCGATCTTGGAAATACCACTGTCCCGGATTGGGATAACAGCCAGTTCCTCTCTGGCAGCATTGAGCACCCACGTATGGAACCAATGGAGCTTCCCGATGATGACCTGAACCTGGATATTGGAGAAGATGACGACTTGGAGCCCCCGGCGCCATTCGATGAAGGCACAAGTATCGAGATGGGCCGTAACGCGCCCCTCGAGCGCCGTCAATCCGAGGAATTTACTGCGCTAGACAAGGGCCTTACGCTAGACGACGATGACCTTAACATAGATATTGGTGAAGATGCTCCTACAGAACTTGGCCCTGGCCCAGAGCTAAACCTCGGGGATGATATGGATATTACCATGGGCGGAATGAACGAAACAGATCTCCCAGCAGGTTCTATAGCAGGCGATTTGCCCATGCGCCAGCGTGAGGAATCACCACTTTCTGAGCTAGGAGAGGAAGAGGCCACTCGTCTTGAACAGGAAATCGCCGAGCAAACCACCACCTTTGAGCCAGAGCAGGAGGAAGAGGAGGAGTCCATTCACCAAGCCAGGGCCAAGCGCAGGAGGGTCATTGGAGCCGACGCCGAGACAATGATTTCTAGCCAGCAACTGAAGGAGCAACAGAACAACCGTGAAAAGATTCTCAAGCCTGCGTCCTTCCTTCCACGCGATCCCCTCCTTATGGCTTTGCTCAACATGCAAAAGTCTGGAGGCTTTGTATCAAGCATTCTTGGTGATGGACGAAGTCAGGGTTGGGCTCCCGAATTGCGCGGCATCCTTTCTTTGGAAGTAATCTCCCGACCAAGCCAGAAACGCAAGCGAGATGGTGTCAATATCGGAGCGGACGCAGAGGACGACGAAGCAACAGCAGCTGAAAGAGAGAAGACGCCACAACTACAACTAGAATTTGAGCAAGACGAGCCAACTCTAGGAGGTGGTGATATTGGTATTGGCGGTGACAACACCATGCTAGGAGGATCTGAGGACATTATCCAACTTCCCGATGAACCAGACTTCCAGCAAATCGGTGAAGAGGAAGAAGATGTCTTTTCCCCAGTCCCAGACAACTTTGACGACACAACCGCACCTCTCATCCATCCTGCCGAAGGTGGACCTGTATCACTAGGCACAAAACACGCCGTCCACTTCTTACGAGAGCAATTTGGGCCCGAAGCTGAGGAGAGCGAATCAGTTCGACAAAAGAGCAGCATCATCTTCCAAGACATTTTCCCAGAAACCAGGACATCACGGACCGACGCCACCAAGATGTTCTTTGAAATGCTCGTCCTGGCAACCAAGGACGCCATCAAGGTCGAACAACCAGCCAACAACCTCGGTGCTCCGCTACGTATTCGTGCCAAGCGTGGCCTCTGGGGTGAATGGGCTGAGACTGGTGCAAGTGGCGAATTGGCTTCTCAAGCCCAAGTTGCGCCCGTGGGAGACTCCGATGCTCCTGCTGAGGCCATTTTCCAAGGGCCGTCTGAAGTTTCTGTCTCCGCGTAGGGAGAACGAACAAAAGAGATCAACTTTCTTGGGAAGACTAGGGGTAAATGAGGGCTTTGTTCTCATCTGGCAGGCGTTGGCTGAATACCCTTTCTTTTCGTATGACTTTCCCTTCTGCTACTTGCGACATTGAACTACGGCTTTTCTTGGTGGGTTGGTCCATTGGCGTTGATGTTTGGGAGGGGCCTATTGTGTCATGGGGAAAACTTGGTTTTATCTTTTTGTATGATGCCTCGTAAGATATTTATATCAGACTTGGAAAACTCAATGTACTTCGTATTACTTCAACATTGGATACTTAAGCTTACTTGAATGATATGCCACTCGTATACTAGATGAATTATTTAGCATGTATAATACTATCATGATTATCCTAAGTATAGAGTGTCACGAGATCCAGGCTCACGGTCGGGTGACCAAGTCCCGGGACTGCCGGATTGGAATTAATGCGTTCCCGCGGAACCTGCTTTGGCCCCAGTTTCTTTCATACCCGCGGCAACTTTTCTTCTCCCGTTCACTCCCCATTGGCAGCAAACACACTTTCTTGTATTTGAATTATATCCACAGGTACCCGTAAACTACTTTATTTGGACGGCCATCACAATGAGCACTGCCGATACGGGTGGCAACGGTACTAAGACGGGCCGTCCACGCAAAAGGGCAGCCGAGGCTTGTACCTTCTGCCGTCGGAGAAAGGTTCGTCTGTACGCGCTTAATGGAACGTAGAGCGCGATACTGAAGTCCACAGATCAAGTGCAGTGCTGAGAAACCTGTGTGCGCGAGTTGCAAAACGCATGGAGTAACTTGCCATTATGAGCCCATAGATGATGCCCATCAAGCCTCGAGTCGTCCACGTAAGACGCCACGACGAGAAAGAGCTTTAGAGTCGGTTGTGCCTGTAGATGCACCTAGTCCTGCTACGCAATCCCCTGCCCAAGCTGGCTCCTCGACACCACAGAGCGTGTCGCGCATTGTTGTCACTGCGAATGGTTCTTCCAGCTATCATGGGCGGACAAGTACCTTGTTCGATGAAGGTTCCCATGAAAAGTCTGTTTCTGAGGCGCATCCGGAGATGCCTGATGAATGGGTTGAAAGAGGACTTGTTGCCGAAGCTGCACGCCAGCGCCAACTTGAGACTGTGAACTTCCGCCAGGGGAAACTCGACTTTGACGGTGTTGAGCCTGAGCTAGGGATGCACCTGTTGTCCTTACACTGGAACCGACAACATCACTCTTTTCTTGCAACTTATCGTCCAGCCTTTATGCGTGACATGGCTTGTGGCGGGCCTTACTTCTCCAAACTCCTTCTGAATGCTATCTACTTTGGTGCAGCCAAGTTCAGCCCACGCCACGAAGTCCGCCGAGTAGCGGACGACGTACGCACTGCTGGCTGGCAGTTTCGTGAAAGAGTGCGTGAGCTTCTAGGCGGCTCTCTGGACAGAAGCGAAATCACAACGATCCAAGCCATGCTAGTCATGACCAACTCACTCTTCGCCCTAGGGGACGAACGCAGCGCTGCATGGATCTATGCAGGCCTGGCATTTCGTATGATAGTTGATCTTGGTATCCACGTGGATACCCCACACCTTGCAGGCAGTCGCCGATTGTCTGACGAAGACTACGAAATCCGGAGACGTGTCTTCTGGGCTGCATTCGGTAAACATCATCATTGCACGAAGATTGATATCGCTAATCGGAAGTACAGTCATCGACAAAATCCAGAGCTTGTATCAGGGCCGACCCGTCAGCATCAAGGAGTCAGACACTCTTGTCCCGATCAAATTCCAAGATACATATGAAGAACTCGAGCATTGGACACCCTTCGCATACTCTACGCAATCAGACGCAACTTACCTGGGCTCCCCGGCATATAGTGTTTCCACATTTCGGCATCTTTGCCAGCTCTCGGTCATTCTGAGTGACATCCTCAGCACAATATATACCGAGAGAAGCTCCGACTCAAGCCCTGCAGAGCTTTCATCTAGGCTAGAAAGCATCCATTCAAAGCTAACGACGTGGCGACAAAACTTACCCGAGCATCTTGCTATAGACGCACACAAGGTTTCTGTGACGCCACCGCCACACGTACTCAGCTTACAGTAAGTATCCAAGATCCTGAGAAATCATTTCAGTGTACTCAGGAAGTCACAGTGCCCTTTACAACGTTCTCATCATCCTTCTGCATCGCCCATTCGTTGCCGACGGGCATCTCTACAACACTTCACGTGCAATTTCTGTAAACTCTTTCATGGCTTGTGCAACATCGGCAGATGATATTGTAAAGCTCCTGCGAGTATATCACAAAGCTTTCAGTGTGCGAAGAGCTCCATACCTAATCTCGTATGCTACTTACGTTGCTGCGACTATCCACGCTCGCATTGCCGCTAGACGTGGACCCAGGTCTCCTGCTCATAGGAACCTCGAGACCTGTCTGGCAGTGTTCCGCGAGAACCAAGAAACGAATTGGGCTGTGCGGCGCGCCAATGCGATTGTACAAAATTTGATGAAAAGAATGGGAGTTGCTACGCTGAATCCGAACGACGCTCTAATTGACAGGGATACTGACAACAGGGGTCAGAGCAGTACCCCAGATACAACAGCTGGTAGTTCCGTAGGCCGCGAGCCCAGCTTGAAAAGCATCGATATCGATGGTATTATCCAAAGCTTTGTTAGAGAGCGAGAACAAGAAAACGCTCTGCCGGCGCAAACGAATGTGACTGGCAATGCTAACCTTCCACATGCAAATCTACCTGTACAATCACAATGGTCAAACTCTATGACTGGAATGCCAGCGGCGACATCCTACAACGGACAAAATGACGGTGGCAATATTGCGTACGATAACAACAGCAGCTGGATGTTTCAAGGCCAGCAGCCGTTATTCGGCGACAACACCTTTACTGTGGACGATCTCCTCTATGGCTTCAACAGCTCAGAATTGGACCGGTTTCCGAACCTGGATTGGGATATGTAAGTAGGATATCAGTTGGCTAGATTTCTTGCAAAGGCTTGCTGCGTTCCCACGAGCTGCAGTGTTTTGAAGCCGCGGCAAAACCTCGGCCTTTTCTTCCCGCGGTTTTACCTCACATTAAGACCTCCCGCGGGAGTCGGTACAGGGATGAGAAGTATCATACCCATCAATGGGCATCAAAATCTTCCTGGTGGATTCCATAGTTATATATGGGATGTAACCTCTTTTGAGACTATTGGATACACAATTCTCTGATTTTATACTGACGGAGACATTTATTTACGTATTGGCGTACAGTTAGTGTAGATGTTTCGATCACTCTCTACATTATCAAGTACTCAAAAAGCAAGACTCTCGACTGTATCTCACATTCTGCCCATCCGCCTACCAGATATTCCAATGGCGTACGAAAGAGCTCCAAAAAGGGTCCGACGTAGCTTACCCGCTGTTCTCATGCGTGCGGGTACCTCCAAGGGTCTATTCATCCACCGCCATGACTTGCCAGCTTCAGAGAAGGACTGGGTGAAGCCTCTACTTGCGGCTATGGGCTCGCAAGGCTCAGATGCTCGGCAGATTGATGGTGTAGGCGGGGCAACATCGACGACATCAAAGGTTGCTGTTGTATCACCATCAACAAGAGTGGGCATTGATGTGGATTATACGTTTGTACAGGTAGCTGTGGGACAAGAATCGGTAGACTTTAGCGGCAACTGTGGAAACATGTGCTCAGGCGTTGGACCATTTGCTCTTCAAGAAGGTTTGGTTCGTGCTAGTCCCGGGGAGCGAACTGTAAGTTGGTCGTTCCGAAATTCAAGGTTCAATGCTGATTCGCAATCTAGCTTGATGTCCGGATATTCAACACAAACACATCGCGGATCATTGTTGACACTATTCAAGTCGACGAAGATGGATACTATGAGGAGTCCGGTGACTACGAAATTCCGGGAGTCAAGGGGACTGGTAGCGAAGTAAAGGTTGCTTTTGTCGAGCCTGCGGGCAGTATGACTGGAAAGCTGTTCCCCACTGGCAATCGCTGCGACACCATCGATGTTAAGGGGAATGATGGCCATCAGTTTTCGGTCAAGGCAACTTTCATTGATGCCGCCAACCCATTTATTCTTGTGGACGAGAGGACACTACCGCCAAATCTCAAGACAGGAAGCAAAGACTCAGCAAGCTATCTCGAGCAAATGGAGTCTATTCGGCGTGTTGGTGCTGTGATGATGGGCCTCGCTCCGAACGTAGCTGCAGCGGCAAAGGTTCGAGGTACGCCAAAGTTGGCCATCCTATCGTCTCCTCAATCAGGTGGTCCATCTGGAACCCCAGACGTTCATGTTCAGGCATTCAGCATGGGAAAGCCTCACCCGAGTCTGCAGCTTACAGGCGCGGCATGCCTAGCATCAGCGGCATGCATCCAAGGAACAATTGCACATGAACTCGCAGAGGATGCTAGAATACAGTCTTCGTGGCAAGCAACACCCGAGCGTACACCAAGCCCATGCTCAGATTCGGATGAGAGCCCATCCGATCTATTGCCGAAACAACAGACAGTCACTCTTGCTCACCCGAGTGGACAAATCAGTGTCGATGTCTTGTGTACAAGCTCAGAATCATTCGCGTATGTTGACAGGTGTGTCGTTTCTCGGACAGCCCGGCGGATATTTGAAGGAAAGGTCTACTACTATACGGATGAGGCTTGAGGGGATTGTTGGGAAGAAACATTGAACGCGTCTGGAACGTAATGTATGAATAATGTTAAGACTTAGAACTAGCACTTAAAATGCATATATGACAAGCGATATGAGAAACAAAGTTAAAGTTGAAATTAGTCTTTGGCTCAGGTTTGTGACATCACGCGCCAGGATCGGAACTGGTGCCCCACTGCGTTCCGAGAAATTTTGGCATCGCTCTCCAGTCATCACTTTATGCCCACGCGCACTCCCCGCATACCAAATGTCAAGTCCAAGATACCCTTTTCATATTTCGCTCCCATACGTCGTCTGGCGCAAGTCGCTATACGAGCGCCCCATTGTAACACATATACCGCGCTGAGAAAAGCCGTTACTTTCTCCGGGCCAAATATATTTAAATTTGCCAGGCCGAACACTGCAAACGCCCCGCAAACGCACAAGCAGTTCATCGTAACCATGTCTGAGACCAAGATCCAGCCGGTGGATCCCCAAAAGCTGGGGAAGATTTCATTCAAAAAGACAGAAGACTTGATCGACGACTGGCATATTGAATATGACGAGTCAGCGAGTGCTGATGATCATTTCGGTAATCTCAAAGCAGCGGCTCGCGATCTAGTGGAGACGGACGTACCCGTTGCATTTCCTACCGAGACAGTCTACGGCCTGGGAGCAGATGCGACAAGAAGTGCGGCTGTAAAAGAAATCTTTGCTCGCAAGGGGCGACCCGCCGACAATCCACTGATTGTTCACGTACACTCTTTGCCACAACTTCGCGCACTATTATCAGGGAAATTGGAAGTCACAGGCGATGGGAGGATCAATGGCAAGGACCCCATACCAGAGATCTACAGACCATTGATTGAGCGGTTCTGGCCTGGTCCACTTACCCTCATCCTTCCGACTCCGGAGACTTCAATCCTCGCGCCAGAGGTCACGGCGGGTCTTTCGACATTTGGCGCACGAATGCCACGATCCATCATCGCCTTGTCTCTCTTGCGACTATGCGGTCGTCCTCTTGCTGCGCCCTCTGCAAACGCATCGACCCGTCCGTCCCCTACAGCCGCCGAGCACGTTTACGACGACCTGAACGGCAAGATAACACGGATAATCGACGGTGGGCCATGCGAAGTGGGTGTCGAAAGTACAGTCGTGGATGGCTTGTCCAGTCCACCAGCGATATTACGACCAGGCGGTGTAACAGTGGAACAATTACGGCAATGTCCCGGGTGGGAGAAGGTGGTGGTAGGATACAAGGACAAGCAAGCAGAAGACTCGAGTAAACCCCGAGCCCCAGGAATGAAGTACAGACACTACAGCCCCAAAGCATCCGTTCTTCTTTTCGAAGCAGGCGCAGACCAGCCTACACCCAAAGAACTAAAAAGCAAGAGCCGGATCGGCATTGTCAGGACAAAGAAGTGGAAACTCGCACTGGGCCTAAATGCGCAGAAGGTGCAGTTGGCAAATCCAAACGGATGGGGGGGTTGCGTGGAACCGGAAGCTGAAGCGCCTGTAAGCACTGATGTGGCTTCGCCGCGCCAATCCAATCTCGTGCGTTCAGTCATTCAGCACCAAATCCCAGAGTCCGACCACTATATTGTATCGCCTGAGGAAATGCATGTCTGGGATATCAATCTCGGCGCGAACTCGGAGGATATCGCGCGAGGTCTGTTTTCTGCGCTGAGGGATCTGGATAAGAAGGGTGTGGAGATTATTTATGTCGAGGGTATTGATGACAAGTCTGGGGATGATATCGCTGCTGCGGTGATGAATCGGTTGAGGAAAGCGGCGGAGATACGGGTTTGAATGGGGTAGTATTCACGGGTGTGTTTGGATGTGAAGAGAAGTTGGTTACGTGGTTAGTCATGGGGTGTTTGGCGTTCGCATGCTTTGGAAGTGTGATGTTGGTTCTTGTGGCAATATATAAACGGAGTGATATATGATAGAGTGTTTTTTTTGGGCAAGATCGAAGTCAGGTATCTACGCTCTACTTACTGAACGCATACGTTGTCTCGAGGAAGAGTTCATTTATCATGTGTTACTACCTGACCACCCTCTTCATTCTCAGCCTGCTAACCATTGCAACTCTATCGACCGCCACACCCGCGCGTAGCGCCATCTTACAACCATCTCCCTCGTACCCACCTTACTCTACCTGCACGCTCCAGCCCGCCCAAAGAAGAAAAGCAGACGCTTGTCTAGCGTGCGATGTAGAGGGAAAAGTGACGTGCTTGCCCAAGAACCGGTATTCGTGGTGCAAAGACGGATGTCTGGTAGTGCAGGATATGGGAAGCGATTGGGTGTGTGAGGGAGAAGGCAGGGTACGGTATCAGGGGATGAGTTGTGTGTGATAAAGGGTGCTAGGGTATGCTTGGTAGGGGTTGTAGAGATGCTGGAGAAAGAGCAAGGTAGTGCTCTCTTTCTCGGAAGTTGCGGAAGTCTGGGGCGACGAGAGCAATGTTGGATCAGAAGGTCAGAGTATGCCAGCAAAAACAACTGTCGAGGCACACACACACACATCGACAACCAACCAAAACAATGTTTCTTGTGAGTGGGTTTGCGTGTATAGGTAGACGAGGTACGAGTCCCACGGTTACCTACTTGTATTAGACAAATTACTATTTTTGTCTTGCTACCGTATTTGATGGAGAATGGCAAATGTCAGAAGGCAGAAGAGGGTATGGCTATTTGAGAATCTGGCATCAAACTCTCTTTTCGCCCCCTTCGCACATGAACACAGACGACATTCTCCTCATGCTAGTAATGTGCCGACTGTCGAGTCAAGCAAGGAGCCGGAATTGCCAAGGGAAACCCAAGCACGGCGTCGGACGGATTGAGAGCTTGGGAGGTCTTAACTGCAAGGAGAAACAAGCTTTTGGTGGTGAACAAGGCGATGTGACGCTATTGCCAAAGTTTAAAGGCGGGCGAGGGCAGGGTGGACATGGTTGCGACATTTGGGCGGCCGTCGCTGTTTCGGGAGATGGGGAAGGGTGACAGAGTTACGTCGACACGCAAACGCCCAGAGCAAAGACTGCAAAAAGAAAAAAGCGGGGCCAATTACGTGGCTCGGCGTTGACCGGGGTGCTGGTACTAACGTTGCTCTTGGCCGCTTGGCCTCCTCTCTCATTGTAATTGTTGAATACGTGCCAGGAAATTGAGAGAGAAGGCCTCATCATCATCAGGCCGTCAGTTTAATAGTATTAATCGAGATGCAATAGCAGGCACACCCGGCACTTTGCGGGCCTGCAGCAACAGCGCGCAGCATGTTGGGGCGCTTATGCAGGAACTTGCAGCTTATCGATAGCACCCGACAATCACGACGCCTCCGACTGGCCCATTGCCCCCTCTCCACACGGGACCAAGGGAAAAAAAACTGCAAAACTGGAGGGAAGAAAAGTTCTCGAGCGCAAAACTTGGATGCGAGAATGAGGACAGAGATTTCGAGCTGCGCGGGTCGGAGGCACAATGACGTCGGCGCAGACGTGTGTAGGGAATAATCAAGTGTCGCTATGGACAGGCCAAGGGCAGGGCGGGTGGCCAAGGTGTCGGCGCTGGCTGGTCTTCTAGGAAATAAGCAACGAGAGCAAATGTCGTGCAGGGCAACGTTAGTAGAGTAGTAACTATTATGTCATCTCATCTGGTTCCATCTCGTCTCGTCTCGTCTCGTCTTGCCTGTTTTCCCGAGCGATGCAAACTTGACGACGCAACACACCATCTGCACGACAAAGGAACAGGCAGGCAGGCCGGCCGACTGCAGTGTTACATGCCCAGCCTATCTCTACTAGTCCTACCAACCAACCTGACTCGCTCCTTCAACCTGCCTCGTCACCAACACTCTTGCACTGCGCCTCTCTGCCGCACTGTCCAGCCACCGCCCGTCTTGCTCTCCTCCCTCACACCCGGCCCCAGACTCACTCTTCAGCAGCCCGACGCGACTCGTCATCTCTGATTCAACATGGTCAAACACCCAGAGCCGTCAACACGTCCCGGAGATGAAAGCCAGTGTCTAGAATAGTCGATCCCTCCACGCCGCCGCTGAGCGGCCCCGCCCCTAACAGCTCGCCGGGGCCAGGAGGCTGAAGGATTCACACTCACAACCCTGCCCTGCCAGTGGACCAAACACACACCCGCTTGACGACATGCCTTAACCCACCTGCAAGCAGTCAGCCTCTCACGCACACGCAGCCAGCGCACCGCATCCGGTGTCTTTGTGCGCCTTGGGACCATGGACTGTAGACTCATAGTCACTCCCTCCCTCCCCTGCGGCATGCAGACAAGACTCGCCGCTCCCAGAAACCCTGTTATACGAAAACACCATCTTCTTTCGGCCCCCCCTGTTTTGCCATGGGGAGCGGGTGTACCTGAGAGTGGCGGTTACGTGAAACACGCCAGCCCTGCTTGCTAGCTTGCGAACGTAAGCCACCATCTTAGCCGTTCACGCTGTTCCTGTCCTGTGACTGGCTGAAGCACCCTATTTCCACCTACCCCCTGGCACATTTGCTTGACCAAAAAAAGTCTGATGCTTCCGAATCCGCGCAGACTAGGCGGGGGGCATGCCTACGCGACCATCGACCGTCCGTATCTGGCCCCCCGCTTGAATATAAGGTGAAAATCACCCGCATCCCCCAACCTTTTCCCCCTCCTTCACCCTCACTCTTTCGCTCGCACAAACTCGGTTGTTGCCTGCCATTCCTTTTGAGCAATCTTTTGCTCTGTACATTCTCTTGTCCCCCACCTGACAGTCACGTTCCTTGCTCGACGACGTCAACAATACCTTGTTTGCGCTCAGGTTAGCTGCATCTGCTTTTAACTGCTCAATCGATACCCTCAAAGTAGCACGTGTGCAAACGCCTGAAAAAACAACAACAAACAACTTTTGTTTTCAACCCCACACAACGACAACCACCGAAACATGTCTTCCTCGATCAAGATTACCGGCCTTTTGGCTCTGGCTGGCTCTGTCGCCGCTGTCCCTCACTTCCAGCACGAGAAGTTCCACCACCGCGCTGCCTACCCTGCTGGTGGATGGGGTGCCTCCAACAACACTGCTCCCGCTGGTACTGGCAGTGCCATCTACGGTGAGCCAACCACCACCCTGGCCACGACCTCGACCTCCACCCAGACCTCGTACACGACCGTCTACGTCAAGCCCTCGCCTTACCCTGGACTTCAACAGGCCAACGTCGCCGATGTCTCTACTACCCCCGGCTGCGGTGCCACCGTCACTGTAACTGCCAAGGAGAAGGTCACTGTCACTGTCACCCCCGGCGGTGGTGCTGCTGCTCCTCCCAGCTCAGCTGCTGCTGCTTCCCCTTCCAAGCCTGCTGAGTATGCTGCTCCCTCCAAGCCCGCCGAGTATGCTGCTCCCTCCAAGCCAGCTGAGTACCCTGCCGAGACCCCCGAGGCTCCCGCTTCATCCAAGCCTGCCGAGTCTCCAGCTGCTTCAAAGCCCGCTGAGTACCCAGCGGAGACTCCTGAGGCTCCCGCCTCATCCAAGCCCGCTGAGACCCCAGCGCCATCCAAGCCTGCTGAGACTCCTGTCTACAGCGTCTCAGCTACTCCATCTGCCAGCAGCCCAGCTGGTGGTGCCTTCCCCACTGGCACTCCTGGTCTTGGAAACATGTACTCTGGCACCAAGCGTGGTCTTGCCTACAACAACGCCGAGCTCTGCTCTACCCTCGGCAGCAGCTACGGCTTCGGCTACAACTGGGCCCAGACCGAGAACAACGACATCGGCACCATGTTCATCCCCATGATGCACAAGCCCAGCGACTCCACCGCCGAGGCATGGCTCGCAAACGTCGACAAGGCCGTCAAGAAGGGCTCCAAGGCCGTCATGGGTTTCAACGAGTGCGACATTGCTGCTCAGTGCAACCTCAGCCCCGAGGCCGCTTGCTCTTCATGGAAGGAGTACATGAACCCCGTCAAGGAGGCTCACCCCGACGTCACCATCATCGGACCCTCCGTCAGCAACGGTCAGGCCCCTCTCGGACTCGACTGGCTCTCGCGCTTCCACACCGCCTGCCCCGACGCCAAGGTCGACGCCACCAACATCCACTTCTACGACGTCTACGACGACAAGACCATTGATCGCTTCATTGCTCACGTCAAGAAGGCCGCCGAGACCTACGGCCAAAAGGTCTGGATCACCGAGTTCGGTCTCAACTCCGGTTCTGCTACCCAAGAGCAAGCTGCTAGCTTCCTCAAGGACTGTATGGCCTACCTCGATACCTCAGATGATGTCCAGGGCTACTCATGGTTCATGGTTGGCACCGGCGAGAACCAGCTTAACCTTGCTGATGGCCTCTCCCCCATTGGCAAGGTCTACGCTGGTTCTTCTTAAGAGATTAAGGGTTTCTCTCTTCTTGTAGATTAGGCCTTTTTTTCTCTCTCTCTCTCTTTTCTTTCTTCATACTTTTTTACTTTTATTTCCAAGATATGGGGGTTGGGGTGAGGTTTCTGGGTGATGGATAACATGTAAACTCAAGAAAGGCGTTTGTACATATCATCATGACGTCGCCTTATACATACATCATCTTTTTTTTACATGTCACGCTTTCTTCTTGCTTCATTGGTGAAGATGTATGTGTGTGTGTGTACAAATGAAGATGAACGCAGATGAGCTAACTGAAAACGACGATGTGACAACGTTTCCTTTTGGGTTTGGATCGTTGGGGGGGGGGGGGGCGCCGCGGCGGAGGGTGAGGTAGAAATAAGGTTCTTATGTCGAAATCCAGATGGTGGCGCCCAAATTGTACTTGCTGTTATTCATTTTTCATCATCATCATCATCATCACACGATGCAAGAAAACGCGTTGTTTATCCAGCACCCATCATCTTGTAGTGTGTTTATTCGCTCTCTCTCTCTCATGTGTGGTGTGTGTAACTTTTTTTTAAATAGTAGTAGTAGTATTAAATAATTCCATATTTATTTCGTGTTCCTTTACTACGATATCAACATCCTACGTATCCCACATATATATATATATATATATATATTCTCTTTCTTTCTTTCCTTCTTCCTTTCTTTCTTTTCATTCATTCATTCCAAAGCTAGATAAAAAAATAAAAAATAAAAAATCACAGGCTTACTTATCAAACATTTATCAAGAGAGGCAGAAGAAGAAGAGAAAAAACCGTCAATATCAGTGCTACTGGAGAAAAAGAAACCTCCTCCCAGCACCTGGTTTCCACACTGTTTACTCTCGGTGTCTTCACATCTACCTACCTACCTACCTACCCACCCTCTCCTGTCCCGATCTACATATCCCTTCGTCTTTGAAAAAAAAAACGCAATATTTTTCCCCCTTTCTGTTGAAAAAAAAGAAGAAGAAGAAAGTAGTAATGGTATATATAATACAAAATTCCAAGCTAAGCCCCGTCCATACGCCCGCGATGCAACGGCTACTCTCGCTCTTTCCCTTCCCCATTTCCCCCCTTCATGTGCCTTGATACTATTCCCAGCTATGCAAAACCGAAGAAAGAAAAAAACACGCTCATGTCGGCGGTTGCTGCTGCTGCTGCTGCTGAGCCTGCTGCTGCGCCAGCTGCAAGCTCTGCTGCATAACCCCGGGCCCCCAACTCTGATGCAAACCCGCACTATTCGGCGGTTGTTGTTGTTGTTGTTGTTGTTGAAGTTGCTGTGGACCGGGATTCGAAGCGACGCGTTGTGGGCCCGGGGATTGTTTCATCTGGGCAGACTGGCCCTTCCAGCCGGGAAACAATTCCTGGAGCTTAGTGTAGAGCTTGGCAAGGTCTGCATGCGAAGGGGGAACAGACATGATGGCGGGTCCTGGTTGCATTTGTTGGCCTGGTTTGGGCACTTTTTCGGCATTTTGGGCGAGGTAGGCTAGGTTGGCTTGTAGGCGCCGCATGTAGCTGTGTAGGTAGGTTTGGTTAGCTTATGTTTGCGGACGCGAAGAATGAGTAATGACAACAACGGGGGGAAAGTACA